TCGGCAGCCTCGAACGCCACCCCTCTTTCGTTAGTTCAGACCAGCGCAGCCTAAAACCGGACATTTTGCTTTCTCCCGGCGGATTCTTGAATGAACGAAATGTGTGGCGGTTGGCTTGCAAACTGTAAAATGTTATATATGTGCTTCACATCGGTCTATACCTCTGGTTCTTAATTTACATACGGTGTACATGGAGCGATGAGCAAGAGGGATCGGATAGATTATCTTCGTACCCGAGCCCTGATTGACTTAAATATTGTATACATCAATACAAACTTCTAGTCAAACATTCTTATCCTGGACCATACAAGTTAAACTTTTTTTCGTAATCCCGGAGAATACAGGCCGTCGCGCTCAAGAGGTTAAATCTTGTAAGAAGACGGCATCCTGTAGAATAACCTTGCGAAGATATTGAAGTAATTCTAGAAACCCTCCGGCGGCGATGGACTGTTCAGTTTTACCGTCGTTAATTGCATGTTGCCACTTCTCAACCTGAGGAAAGATCATACTCTGTAAAACGCGAGGAGGTTCCACAGACGCGCGTGCAACAAAAAAATTCCCTCGAGAAGGCTCAAAGCCGGCAAGCGTGCGCATAGCTTCGCATGGAAGAGACGTGAGATAGCATTTCTCCATGGCTTGAGTATTCCAACGACTTAAACGTCTAATTTGAGATTCGCTTGCACCACCTAGATCTGCCATACGAGATCCAGACCCACGCCCAACATGGGTTGTAGCCTTACTGCGGATTCCAACATGATTATGTGTAGCTGTAATAGCCTCTCTGTGTACTTTGTATGACATCGTTTTCTTAGGATATTTTCCTATTTTGAGTAGCTTCAATGGGTACCAGCGATCCGAGGAGGTGAAGTCAGGAAACGCCTCTCGCCAAAACACATACAAACCCAACAACCCGTGGGGACAGATCTCCACATTCTTGTTACGCATACAAGCACCAACTTCAATGCGACCCGCTTGATTTGTTTTACCTTGACGCATCACCATAGCTATGGCTCGACACGGACTATAGCCCTCGTTCTCCAACATAATTGAATGTAAATCAGCCAATTCTAGCATCCGGGTGGACTCACCTCTCATTAGAGCATAGTGGCTCACGAGAAACGCCAAAAGATTCCGTAAGTTCGTTCCTGCCTCACGTGACATCGCCCAAAAGTACCTAGCAATTTGCTGGATTTGTTCTGTTGTCGTATATCCATCTAGTAATGTATCAGCTCCTCGGTCCTCAAAATTCTTTCGTTTGCGCTCGTCTTCTTCAAACTGGGCCAGTTTTAGCAGCGATGTCACTGCAGCGTTACGTGGTGAAGGATAACTATTGATTCCGGCCTGGACTTGTTGTTTCCACAGATCAACCATGGCTGCAACGTAAAGATTAACAGATGCGCGGCCAATCGTCTCCACCCTATCGGCTTGTTTCGTAGCACTTTTCTGGCGCTTACGTCTAACAATAACGCATTCTTCCAGGAAGAGATGTAGTTTTTCACCCGTCACAGTGAAGCGAGTCAAGTCGTTAAATGAGTTACCCTTGTTTGTGCACCACTCGAGAAACTCCTGCTGACGCTTGTCGTAGGAACGGGATGTATTCTTGGGTCTTAACTCCTTTGCCTTTGCGTACGTCCTCTGTATAGACTCCTGCATCTCCACAGACATCCTTGCATCAGTCGCCATGATCTTTACTTGGATTGCTACGCTATCGCTCTTCTTCTCTCGCCTGGAAATGGCCGATAAAGGGCTGACCGGCTCTAACATTGGCGTTAGCCAATCATAACACAGAAGACCAGACAGACTGATAACTGGTTATTCTACTCTACACACGGATTATAACTTTACTTAATTCGCCTGCTATGCACATGCGTAATCGGTCCCGGTCCGGACCGCGGGAGCGATAATGATAATGAAAGGTTGGTCATGATTACCTGTAATTAGGCAGGAAGGGATGTTTAATCTAAACATAGGCGGCGAACTGTACTCTATATAGTTCCTAATGCCGTTCTTTGCCAGAGATCATGATAAAGTTACCATTGCAATGCCCGACAAGTTGCTTCGGCTACAAACTGTCTATGCATCGCCTACGAAACCAGACGGACTAGGGACGACAACAGGCTCACCAGCGAGGACGCGTCGACCAGGTGAACATAAATCTGTATCACCCGCGCTTGGACCATTACCGGGGGCACTTAGCAGCCTGTCGCCGAAGCAATGGAAGCAGTGGATGCAAGATGTGCAGGAGCTAAATGTATCCTCGTCAGTATTTCTGGCAACGTCGTTCTTAAACGAGAGCTTGTCGCAAGCAGCGAATGAGGAACTGGAGCAGTTCATTCTGAAACCGGTTGTCGTCCAAAACGCCGAGAAGGTAGCATTGTTTCTGGAGAAGCGAGCAAATATCGCTACCAGTTCAGCAACAAAAATTAAGAAATACCCGCCTACAATCAACAAAATTCAGCAATGGCGAACACGTATCACAAAACCTAGGAAGCGCAAGAAGAGCGTGAATCTGAGAATTGAGCCACTGCTGTCTGACGAGGTAAGTGGCACTGTAACACCTTCATTTAGTAAACGATCACAGCGTCCTAATGTTTTTTTTTATCTGATCAGATGCGAATGAAGCTGCAAGCTCATCTGGAAGAGAAGATCCAGGGCAATATTTGGGAAAACGAGATCCGCTCCCAACTCGCTAGACCACTCAGTGCAACGACGTTCTGTAGCAGAAACGAACAGCTACGACACCCACTCAGTGCTACTCAGTTTGTTTCTACAATTCACCAACATTTATGCTCTCAAATGTCAAAGACCTTGGCGATACCAGCTGGTCTTGAGCACTCCATATCTTCGCCGGCACCAAAATTCCCGTATTCTAAGGAGGCACATGAGACTGCGAATTGCATACGTCGCTGCAGATTAAAAGCTTGCTTCCGTGTAGCCCTCAAGGCCCGTGCACGCGCTGTAGCCATTGCCATCCGTGCGCTTCGTCGTCGAGGTATTCCCCTACTTATAAAAGGCTTTCGTCGCCGTCGACGTGCAGCCATCCGAATCCAGCGACGCTATCGACAATTTCTTCGTTGGCGCAATGAATTTTTACGTCCGTTTGCGTGCAAGAACGTTGCAGCTTGGGTTCGCCAGGGTCTGACGCTAGCAGCATCACGTGTTCTCATTGCTCGGGCCCTTACGACGCTGTACCAATCACGGAAGGCAAGACATGCAATGGCTGCTAAGCGTGCAAGACATCTGCATCGATGGGCTGCCAAGACGCGCGTGAGTCTCTTTGTTCATCAAATATGGACAGTCAATTGGTTCCGCAGTAAACGCAGCTATAACGTCGTCGCGATGAAGCAAGAGCTCGCACTCTTTGAGGCGAGCGACAGTAGCGTACAGCTCGAGTGCACTGCCGTCTTCGCAACGCCACTTGGTAAGGATATTCTGAAGAAGGAGCTCGCAGTGTGGCGTGTCGGAGCTCGTACACGAGCAGCTCGAAAAGAGCCACCAAGCACTACTGCGTCGAATGTGGACCCAGTGATACTGAGACTTCGACAATGCTTCCAAATCTTCGATCTTGACGGCTCTGGGACGCTCGATCTTGACGAATTCCAGTTAATGTTATCGTATCTACGTGAGAAGAAGCAGAAGCAACCTGGTCGAGGCAACGTAAGTGGGAGAGCAACAGCTCCGGGACCACCTAAACTAACACCGGCTCAAGTACGTAATTTATTCTCCGAGTTAGACAACGATGGTAATGGAGGTATCACATGCAACGAATTTGAGAGCTGGTGGACAAGAGAGCATGAGCGATCTACAGTATCCACGTCAGCGTCAACAAACTTCTTGTCCCGTGGTTTGGACGGCTTAGTGCTTCAAAGTCACGGACTGCTATTTTGGCTGCTAGGGCGTAAGCAGCAACTGGAGCGAAAATTCGTGAAAAAACTCGTTGCGCGACGTGCAATGGAGAAGGCTAAGTGTGAGATTCTGCATAGGGAGATCGAACGAGAGCGTATATATGGTAGTCTATCGGTCTTTCGGTGTCGGAGCTGTGGTCGCCGGTTTGGTTTGAGAAGAGATTTGGATGATCATGCCGCCCACGAATGCAGTTCGACAGAGCTGGTGGTGGACACATTTACATTGAAGCGATGGATACACGAGGAAGACTTTCGACTGCTCGAAGACGTGGAAAAGTAGCTCGGGTAGTGAGATACGCGGAGATGAATTCGATCCCGGTGTATTGGCAGCCACAAGACTTTAGTAACCAGATTAAGGTAACAGTCGCAACAATCAACACAACGGGCATATCGGTTAGTTGATCGTGGGCTTGCATTACGGTTGCACAGTGCAACTTGCACTGCCTCTCACGTTCGTGAAGGAGTCAACTTGCTTCAA